AAAGCTGAAATGTGTTTGGGGAATGGCTCGTGGCAAAATCTTAGGTTGTTCCCACTTCTGTGGTGAGTACCAAAACCCAAGCCACTGAGGACCTTGGGATCACAAAAGCCCTCAGGGGCCATGGATCCTAGATATAACCAGGGCCATTGGCAGCATAATCTTTCAGAGCAGAAGTTACTAATCACATACAGAAGAAGCTCCTTTAAACATACTTTGTATTGATTCCACCATTCAATACAATTACTTTTCTAATGAGAACTAGACAGAATCATGAAGTTTGGTTTTAGTGTTTTGAGTAAACACAAGCAGAAGTGGGCACCATGGTCTTATCTGGCCTTACTAGTGGTAAGAAGTGGTGTTGTAATCCCAAAATTCATACAGTTCGAATCCATGTGCTGCTCCACAGAAGGAGAATGGGCAATCTCCTCCCATGGGATTTACTGCCTCTGAAAACTTGTAAGAGGGTCAGCTATGAGTCAGTTATCACTTGATGGTACACAACAACAACATAAGGTTCCTAAAGACAATGCAGAAAAGATTAAAAGTACCCCCTCATCAAAAAGTGAAACCTATTCTGAGCACCTCTTTTAAAGTGTTTTTAGCTTCTTTGAGTTGTGGACTTTGGACAATTTCACACCTTGTTCGCATCCAAGGTATCTAGGCTGAGAATCTCCTAGACTCAAAGTAAGACTGATGTAAGACACATGAAGATCTCCAAAGAATGCTGGGCCCACAGATGCTGAAAGGAGGCAGGAGCTTACCCCAGAACTAAGGGAATGATGAAAAGCCTTTCAATAGAGCAGGTATTTTTAATCTAGACTTCTAGTCTCCCTATTTGTTAGATCCTGCCACTTGTGACATTTCTGTTCCAGCAGCACTAGATAACTAAGACAGGACCTACTTAGGTAGACCAGTGATTCAAAGTTGAGTTCACCATTTTCATGCATATGGGACTTAATACTCTTAACATAAAACCACATAATATCCAATAACTAGACTATGAACATGGCTAATCTGAGCACATGATGTTTAGAGCAAAACTATAAGGCTGAGCCCACACTCCTGTGCTCTGAGGGAGACTGATGCAAGTACCTTATTAGATGTAGTGGTCGTCTGTAGTCTAGCTGATTTGCATTTTTGAAGGTTGCCCCCTTTTTAAATATACTGTTTTATAATTTAATCATTTATTTAGAGATCCACTTTTCAGAACTGAAGCCATTATTATTTGGATAACTCAGTCACTTACCGTTAATATGAGCTTAGATACTATGATGTTATAATCTTTGTTATGGCTGTCACCATGAGAGTCTATCTTGTCATGGAAGGAGTCACTCTGTGACGGTGACTTCCATGCTGACCAGCTGTCTTGAGTCACGCTGGGAAGTGTCGGAAGATCAGGGGTGGCCTCTGATTAGGGGTGTAGTTTATTTACGAAGAAAAAAATTGGATGATGTATAATAATACTAGCAAAGGAACCAAACCTTCATCCTTGGGTTTGACGTCATGTTCTCAGTAAGGCTGCCTCCAAATGCTCATATTGAAATAAGGGTCACATAAATAACAGCTCCTGCCACTGAATTATTCCCACATCTCAGACTAAAGAAATACAGACAAAGCAGCCTTGTATGCTGTGTGTTACTTTACTCTTTGTTTTAAAATAGGCCCACACACTTTAGTCTAAATAGTCATTTTTTGAACATAACTTTTACAACAAATGCCAACTGAATCCCTTCTTAGTTACAGCTCCACTAAGCTGAGATGCCACTGGCTGATGCATGATGACAGTAAAAGTAAGAGTACTGAGCTGAAAGTGCTTACGGTGTTTGAAGTGAGAAGGTCTAAGATGCTGCCTTTGGTTTTCCTTTTCCACTGGCCAGCTTTCACATGCACATGAGGCATGTGCAAATATTTATGACTTGAGCCCGGCACACCTGAGTTCTCAAAATGACATCTTTACTTTAAAACATTTCAAGGATGTCTTTTGCAGCAGATTTACCCAATGCAGTATTTCTTGATGGTCACTTCTTCGGTGCTGATGGCAGATGCAAGAAAAATTGCCTCATATGCCTGTGAAAACTGTACAAGGAAGATGGACGACTGAAGACAAATTGATGCCTATGAATAATGATCATGGTGAAGGGTACTGAATGTCCCGCGGACTGCCGAACAATAAATAAATGTGTCTTTGAGGATGTGCAACCAGGGTGCCCCTAAGAGGTAAGGCTGGCTAGACTCTGTCTCACTCCCTTTGGACATGTTATCAGGAGGGAGCAGTTTCTAGAAAAGGATAGAATGTTTGGTCAAGTAGAGGGTTAGCAGGAACGAAGAGCCTCTACAAGAAGGCCTGACACAGTGGCTTCAAAATGGGTTCAAATGGAGCAACAGCGGGGAGGCTGGTGCCTAACTAGGCAGAATTTAGTTACGCTATATTTTAGACAGCTGTAAGTTCGAATCAATTAAATGGAAACAAAAATGAACCACAAAACAATGTCTATAGGTGACCAGCATTGACTCTGAGCCAGACTGGTGTTGCCTGGGAAACATGACCCAAAAAGAAGAAACAAAGTCATGTGACTTTTATTTAACCTTTCTAAGCTTGAGTGTCCAGCTAATAAATGTTAGCAATTACTTATATATCATTACAACAACAACAATTACTATTATTTATTTCTGAGGTAAAGAGGGCTCAAAGACCTGGAGTAATGGAGCCATTCTCTTCAGTTCATAAGGGCCCGATTGCCCTCTACATTGCCAGTCTTTTTCATGATCCCTGCCAAAGACCAAAACTTTTAGGTCAGGAATACTGGAAAGCTTAAGGTCCCTCCCTGCTTTGACATAAAACTTTGATCCCAAATTCTTCTTCTTCTTCTTTTTTTGTGCATGTGTGTACCATCAAGTCAGATCTGATTGGTACAGGAGGAGATTGTCTCTCCTCCAGCAGAGCATCTGGTGAATTCAAACCAGGTACCTCTGAGATTGCAGTGCAGCTTCTTTACACTAGGTCACCAGAGCTTGCCTAGTCCCAAATTCTTTAATGTCTGTGCTGAGTAGGATGGAAGGATAATTATGGCAAGATCTATCTATCTCAGAAAGCATCAGCTATCTACAATGGCTATTTCTTCTTCTTACATATCTTGAATAATCACATGGTGTCTCTCTGGAGACTAAGGTGCATCTGATACAGGC